ACCTGCAGTACTTCTTTCTGAGATCTTCACATGGCTTACTCTCTGACTTCCGTTCTCCCCTGAAATGTTACCTTATCAGAGAGCCCTTTCTTGACCATCTTGTGTGAAAAAGTCCTCCCTGTCCCTCCCCTGTCGTTCATTCTGTCTCATTACCCTGCTCTGCTTTTGTTCTAGCACTTATTACCACTAGAACGTAAGATCTCAGAAAGTGGGACTTGGTATAGGTTGTCCATTGCTGTACCTTCAATATCTAGCACATCAATAATATTCATTGACTGAAGTTGTGGAGACACTTTAGAGCTTGGGTGCTCCGACTCCTAAATTCATTGGTTCTTAAATTGTGCCAAGCCTCTTGCCTTCCCCATCAAGGAGTCCTGAGAGTATTGCCTTGAGCAATAGTCTTGTGCCTCACATTCATCCACTATTTATTCACTCACTAAACATTTACGATGGTCTACTAGGCAATTTTCACCCTTCTAGATGCCGGAGATACACAGAGATGAATTAATTATGGTCTATTTCCATTTGAACTCAATTAGGACCCTCTTAAACGGTTTTCCTAACACTAGTCTCTATCTCACCATTCTTGCCTGAATACTGCCACTGAATTAAACTTCCAAAAGCACCTAGAGTTCCAGCTAGCCCATGCAGTGCCTTTCGGAAAATTAGAAAAGGCACCTTTTCCTTAGGCAGCCAAGCCCTACGCTGGGCACACATGCCCAGTCTGCACAACCGCTGAGGGCTGCCCTGAAGACACCTCTAGGACCTTGTCACTCTCAGGCTCAAAACTTTAATGGCTCCCCACTGAATATAGGCTAACATTCTTATCCTGGAATTAAAGGTGATCTACAATATGGATTATCTTCCTTTTTTGTTTTATTTTCTACTATTTACCTCCACATACCCCCTGCTTAAACTAAATGAGACTGTTGTACATAGTCCCCCCAAAAATCTTTTTTCTTTCTTTTCTCATGGCACCTTCCGCCTGCTCAATTCTCTTTCTCATGCTGCAGAGTAATTTATTGAGGTGTATCCGTGTTTTGGTTCTCGTTTTTCCTGCTTAGCTTATGGGAGCATAGGAAGTCCAAATAGCAGAAGTGGCTTGAAGATAGCTTCTCTTAAGTGAGGAGTTAGACTGCTGGTGGAAGGTACATTGGTAGGGGGAGGAGAGAAAGAAGAATAAAGAGATGGGAGGGAAGTGTGAGAGAGGAGGAGCAAAAGCAATAGAGAGCAGGAGAGGCAGAGAGCAGTAGGGAGAGTATTTTCATGCTGGTCCTGAGTCATATCAGGAACCAGGTCCACGTTCTGGCCATGCCCCTGAGCGGTGATAAGACTGGAGGAGTGAGATGGGCCCTAGACTCTTGTGTTCCCACCCTCAGGACGGAGTTGCACTCTTTAAGTTTGGCCCGGAGGCAACAGATTTGCTGGGGTTTTTTCAAAGGATAGTCAGTAGAGTCATCAGCAGAAAGCCTGTGGACGGAAAGCCATTTGTGCCTCCTTAATACACCAGCATTCAGCTCTAACATTTGCACGAAGTCTAAGGGAGAAGATGGCAGGAGACATTTTTAAAAAGATGAAATTCCCAGGCAGCCTGGGGATGGGAGCTTGAGGCCAGATTTAATTTGGAAACTAAAGAAGCCTGTCGTTTTTGAACATATCAATTTGCAGAGTAAGACTCTTTCTCACCAGACTAGAACGATTTCTCCCTGATCTCCAACCTGCCTGTCTTTCAAAGCCCAGCTCGAAAGCTTCCTCCTCCAAGAAACACTCAGATAACTCCAACAAAAGTGCTCCTTCTCCTCCTGTAATCCTCAGCTCCTTTATGCGTGAGCAATTCTGTTGTGTGGCCTTCCTGTGCTGGCACGGTGTGCAAACTCAGATTTTCTTAAATCAGAGTCTCACTCACTGCTGCTCTGCAGTGGGCTTTTTCTGCTTTCTCAGACATGCCCACACTGATCCTCACAAGAACTTTGTCTGAGTGGTGGTGTGGAGCTGTGTAGGGGGCTTAAAAATGGGCTGTGGAGGAAGGTGCATCTGGATCGGACATCTGACTATCACATATTTGCTATTGCAACTCTGTTAAGTTTCTTTAAATTGCTAAATCTGTTTCCTCATCTATAAAATAGGGATAATAATATCTAATTGTGTAGGTGGTTGTTGTAAGTGTTAAATGGGTCCTGTGAGAAGTGTTTGAGACAAAGCATGTCCTTAATAAAACCACAATTATTATTTCCATTGTATGGCGATTCAGAGTGCTATGGACTGAATTGTGTCCCCCTAAAATTCTTGTGTTGAAATCCTCATGCCTAATGTGATGGTATTAGGAGATGGGGTCTTTGGGACATGCTTAAGTCATGAGGGTGGAGCCCTCCTGAATGGGATTAGTGTCCTTATAAAAGTGGCTCCCTAGCCCCTAACCAGGTGAGGACACTATGAGAAGGTGCGGGCAATGAACCAGGAAGAGGGCCTTCACAAGAACATGACCACGCTGGTGCCTTGATCTTGGACTTCCCAGCCTCTGGAACTGTGAGAGAATAAATTTCTGTTGTTTAAGCCACCCGGTCTATGGTATTTTGTTATGGCAGCCCTAGCAGACTAAGACAGAGATTAAATGATTTGCCTCAAGTTATAATCAATAAAACTGACAAAGCCAAGAAGCAAACTCAGTTCTTTTGAATGTTCAATGAAATTTTACGATACAGTATTCTCTCTTCAACCCCAGAACTCAGAATGTACTTAGCGGGCTGTTAATTCATAATGGGTCCATAATAAATTTTATAACTAACGGACTGACTAACTAATTAAACAAGTGGAGAGTTACTCCTAAAAATGAAAAGAACTGTGGAATTCTGTTTTCTACATTTTTGTATAATAATATGCATACTTGAAATAGCAGTAACAGTACAGCAATACAGCAACAATAGCTGTATTGTCTTAGCCGATTATAAAAGTGGTACATTAAATAGGACAATAAATAAATTGTAAAACACACAAATGATCCTAATGCTATTTTCCAAATAGAACCATTACAAACATTTTGCTGTATATCCTTCTCAGCTTTTTTCTAAATACACATTTTTTTAATCAACCATACCATTCATATTGCTTTCGACCTTTTGTTTTCATTTATGGACAGCACACGGTCATTGGTCCATGTCACAAAATATAATTCTATAACATTTTAAATGACTACTTTGTAACATATATGTCATTGTATGGGTACACAATTATTTATATTTAGTTAATCCCCTATTAAATGTCTTTTAGGTGGCTTTTAGTTTTGAGGAATCAACATTATTTCTTATCTTTGTGCTTGTGTCTTATTATCGGCTCAGGGTAAGTTCCTAAAATTTTAATATGTCATCAAATTATCTCCAGCAAGAGTGGACCTATTTACATTCTCATTAACAGTACTGGAAAAATTTGAAACTAAATCTAATGAAAGTTTGCTAAGACTTGTTCTTTTTTTTATCGAAGCATAGGACATTTCTCTTATTATATTTTCAATATATTTGACTATGTCAAAGACGATTGTGTAAACTGTATTTTCTTTACACAAAATTAGATTTTTATCATAATTTCATAGCTTATTTTCAACTTCCTCTGCAGTCTATCTTCATTGAGGATGTGTGAGATTCATCCAGGTGAATTATTTACTTTTTTTATTTTTTGTCACTTCGTCCAACCCTGTTATATTGCTCATACCTGTGGTCAAGTGCATATTTAGGTAATTTACTCTCCACTTAGGAAATGACAGAATGCTCTTTATTCTACACTAATTGCCTGCAATCCCCCTGGACTTTAGAGATCATGAGACTATTACTGCTCCCCAGCATCTAGCACAATGCCTCACACATAGTAAGCACTCAATAAACACTTGTTGAATTGTTAAGTTATTTTCTAACCATTTTTTATCCATGCTAATATGTTGTTAATATTTACTGAAAATTGTGTTGTTAAAAAGCAATCAAAAGGAAATGTGTGTTTGGGTGAGGGGGAAAGAATCAGGCTGCTTTCTCAATCTTTTAAAGAAATGATAGTATTTTATCCTATTTAAAAGTATGCTTGGTATGTTTTTAAAATTTATAATAATTTATAAACCATATTCTCAGACTCCAACTATTACATAGTAAATACAACTCTTTAATGGGTGTTTTGGGAGTAGGGGTCATTTTTATCTCTGAATCTGTATTTCTAAACTTTAAGTCTATCATTGACCTTATTGGTGTTCTACTAAAATTTATGTTTAGATTATTCTTTCTAAAAATAATTTGCTCACAGGACCAGCCCCGTGGCCTAGTGGTTAAGTACAGTGCTCTCCACTTTGGCGGTCTGGGTTCTGTGTCAGGGCTCTGACCTACACCACTCGTCAGCAGCCATGCTGTGGCAGTGACCCACATACAAAATAAAGGAAGACTGGCACAGATGTTAGCGCAGGGTGAATCTTCTTCAGCAAAAATGATAATAATAATAATAATAATAATAATTTCCTCATATAGCTCGTCTTTGGTAGTGTACTCATTCTCCTTTATATCTTTTATTTTTTCTATTATTAAAATTAATAACTTTGTGTCAGAGCACTTTAAGGAAGTTGTTCTATTCATTTTCTTATCTCCATCACCCTGCTACTTTTTGATCCAATTTAAATGATACAAAATTTCCATATTTAATTGCTTGTTAATAGTCTTTTCCTGCTTCGTCGCATCTTTCCTTGTTTCCATATCAACTTAGAAACACCTGCTCAAACAGAGGTAAACAACCCAGAGACTACCACGAGTTTACCGAGGTGCTTAATATACAGTGATAAAAGTGAGTCTGCAGATGCATTTTCCATACACCAAAAAGTGAAACTACAGTGCAGCCCTTTGCCATGCCATACATTTCCATTTCAGAATCTGCATTCTGGAAAGCACCCACAGTTTCAAGTTAGTATTTGCAAAAACAGATCAATATAGTTTATTTCAGGACACCGACAGATTTGCCACGGCTGCTCTACTAACCTTGACTGGTCAGAATACCCCAGCTAGCTTTTCGTTTAGAAGAACATTCTTCTACACTCGCTAGCCTTCTTTTCGTGAGGATCTGCTTAATGCAGTTCCCTTCAACAGCAATATCTGCGGGCATGGTGTGGTTGACGTTCTGTCTGTGACAACCAGGTGTCATAAATGCAAGTGCTCTAGCCGGAAGAAATGTCAGAGATTGGATTTCTAACTACCTTTTCCTTCCTTCAGACTTTCACAAAGATTCCTGTGTGCTGACTGGAGGATGGCCTCCACACTGCACTCTTTACAGAAACACTGGGAGGAGGGCTGGTAGGTGCGGTGTGGGGGATGGGCCAGAAATGCAGTAGCGTTTTCTATTTTTAAAGCAGAGACTCAGCCGCAGCCGGAAGTATTTAACTACTTGTGTGATACAGCAAGTAAAAATGTGTAAAATTGCTTTTCCTAGTCGCAAACAGAGGAGAAAGAGCTCTGCCTTTAAAACTGGAAAGCCTATTTGAATTAGCTACAAATCTCTGCAAGGTAAAATTGCCCTTGATCATAGCTGCAGATAGAACGTCATAGCCAGAAATCTCAGCAGTGATCAGGGACTAGTTAGCCTTTCTCCTTCATCCAGAAATAAATAGCGTATGTGCATTAGGGTCAGCTGGTAGAGAGCTCATGTTTTTGTTTCAGCCAGGTCTAAGTTTAGAACTGGCTTCTGTACAAAATCACAGTCCTCTTATTTATATAGGCACAGCTCACTATGGTGATTTTTCCGGAGGTCATTTCAAGACCAAAAGATGTCAGCAGTCATTTTAGGTACAGCTGATATTTTTCACCCTAAAAGGCCGAGGAAAGAGTAGCTGGAGAGACGAGAGGAAAAACCAAACCTGTGCCTGGTATGTTTTGCTGGCTTGGAGAGTTGAACAAGGTGCATGGGCTATCACTGAATCAAGAGCAGTGACTGCCCGGGATAGGACTCCAGGGATTAACTGAGCTGGTGATCCTGTTACACGGTGTTAACATATCGAGATCTGTCTTGATGAAAAACGGTCACAGATTCTACTATCTATCTTTGTTTTTCACTATTTTTTAGGCTCTACTTTCTATTGCTATATACAGAAAAAAGCAATTATTGGGGTATTGCCTTTGCATAACAAGCTGGGTAAGCAAGAGAACGTGTCATGAGTAAAATTATTTCCCATGCGCTACCCTATTAATATCTGTTGCCATATCACATTGCCAATATTTACCTCAACGTTCTCACTGATGAATGCCAAGACTATCTTTTCCTCATCTTGAATTCAGTCCTCATCCCACAAACTATGTGACCTGGGCAAGGAGCCTAATGATACCTCAGTTTCCTTTTCTATAAAATGAGGAGCTAGGATAAGGCCGCTCTTTCTGGCTCTAATATTTTTTGATTCAGATTCTGTGACTAACACACAAAGGGCAGGTGGTATATGAGCTCCAGGCATATTAAATTACTACACAGGAGGCCAGGCATTCCCAATAAAACTGGAGCACGGGGTCAGCTCAGCCAAGGCTATTTGTGTGTGGGGCGAATTCTTAGGTGCTTGGAAAAGTCTGAAGCGTGGCCAATGAGAGGCCTGTTCAATCCAGTTTTTCTACGTGTTCTGGTTGTCACTAACCACTGGCTTTTTGTCCCCAGTGGGTACCCATTGGGGGTGTGCTCATCTATACAAGCCACATAGTAAAAGTAAATACCAGTTTTTGCTTTTAAAAGAAATTTCAGGGGGCTGGCCCGTGGCTTAGCGGTTCAGTGCACGTGCTCCACTGCTGGCGGCCCGGGTTCAGATCCCGGGTGCGCATTACGCACCGATTGTCAGGCCATGCTGTGGCAGCGTCCCACATAAAGTGGAGGAAGATGGGCATGGATGTTAGCTCAGGGCCAGTCTTCCTCAGCAAAAAGAGGAGGATTGGCATGGATGTTAGCTCAGGGCTGATCTTCCTCACCAAAAAAAAAAAAAAAAGAAGGAAAGAAATTTCAATTTTAAGCTTCTGACTTTTCTTTGGTTATTGTAAAATAAATATAGAAAGCTTTATTATAAGAATTCGGACAATTTTTGTTCTTAAAACAATTTTAGTATAATGACCTGTTTCCATGTCTGTCTCCTCCGCTAGGTTGTGCACTCTGATTGCAGAGACTGAGGACATACATCTGTTATTTCCCAGGTCTGCCACTGCACCTCAAATAGCGGGCATTCAAAAAAAAGTGTTACTTTAAAGAGTAATTTGATTATGGAATTCGGAAGAATACTTGAAGAGGGCTTACTGTATAGTCCATGGGGGTAATAAACAAATTTCCTGTGCAGCAGGGGGAAAAGCCATTGGATTTGACCATAACTACATGCTTAGTTAACTGAGACGTGTGCTAGTCTGCAGTATACATATAATAATTCACATAAATAATCAGGTGGCCTAAGGGGATAATAATTATGTCTTTGAAAATTTTTAAATGCATCAAAAGCGATTTTTAAAAGTGACTCCATGGAATTGAAGGAAAATGTTGTTACAGCTAATTTACCAGAAAAAATAAGGAACAAAAGATTAAATTGATCGAGTATGCTCAACTGCATGATTTCATAAAAGAGGATGCACAGTGAAGTGAATGTGTTTGGGACAGAATCATTTAAATGCTGAGTATCTATGATTATATAAATAAGAAAGCAAGCACTGTGAAATCTCTAGATATATGAAAGAATCTATCATCTTCCTCAGTGTAAATACAAAAGTGGATTGGATAAACTGCAGGATATCATTGGGCTCTGGGAGTAGGGAGATGTTTTAAAGCAAACCAGTATTAGAAAAAACACTAAGGAAAATAATAAAAATTATATTCTATAGAAAATAATGGGCTCTGAAATATTATGTCTCAGAAAAAGCATCTGAGATATACTATAAATTGGAGATAGCTTACTATTACTACCCACAAGGCTACAATAAAACTTTAAACCTTGTAGGAAGCATATGGGAAATGAAACAGGGCAATTCTATTCCCAAGAGCTATTCTATTATTTTAACCAATGCTAATGTGTCTGAAAACACAGGGACCTATGTTTGTTCTAATCCTCTGTGTCAAAATGATGTTAAGGCTGGAAAAGTTTCAAAGAAGGATACTGGAAATCAGCAAAGAGATGGAGGCACTTCTACAGGAGAGAAATCCTAATACTTTTAGATAGTTCAAAACGGGAAGTTGAACTCTAACACGGATTCTGATGGAAATCTACATAATCATGCAAGGCAGCATTAGGAATGAATAAACTTTTTCAAGAAATTCTGAAAAACTAGAAAGTTGGATCACTTTCTGACAGTTTTAAAGCTAAATTTGGGACACAAATGTAAACTCCCTTTTTTTTTTCAGTTTGCACAACCAATCACAAACTTCAGACACTCTTTGCTTCCAAAAGGGGGTATTTAGCTAAACTAAATGGAGTAATCCACAGCTAAAGATTTTTGAGGGTATAGTTCTGAGTTTAGGGACTTAGATCATAAAGTTCCTCCACTGTCAGAAAAAGAAGATCAAGATGAATAGACTTCTGCTTGGCTCTGGTTGGCACTTTCCCCCACTTAGGACTATGGAATATTTCAAACATACATGCTCTCTATCACCCAGTTTAACAGTTATCAATTCATGGCTAGTCTTGTTTCCTCTACAACCCACCCATTTCCCTCCCCACCTCCAGTCCTAGGATTATTTTGAAGCAAATCTCATTATATCATTTCACCCATAAATATTTCAGAATGAGTCTCTAAAAGGTGAGGACTCTGTAATCATAACGACAGTATCATAATCACATGAAAACAGTAATTCCAATATATCAGCAGATACTGTTGGTAATTTTTATTTTCTAGAGAGCAGCTCAGTTCATAAACTGCCTTCTATAATGATACCAAAATTGATATAACCTTTAGATCCTTTATCTTGGGGCAAAAAGTCTGTAATCTCTACATTTTCTAAATGTCTTTTAAAAAGCGTTGAAGATTCCCATCCTTTAAAAAAAGAATATTTGTTTTCTCTACATTACTGAGGACTCACGTAGTACAACGTAAAATATTTGCCTTAAATCATCACAAAGATCCATTAGACTCTCTTTTACCTGCCAGAGCCAAATTTCCACCCTTGCAAAGTCGCATTTGGAACAGGCCATCATTCAGTTCTTGGTGGCTGCCTTGCGGTGGGTTTCTTTACAAGGCCACACATACAGGTAACTCACAAGAGTCATCTCTGAGCCCCATTCTTGCTCCATTCTACTTTTTATTCTATTTCATTTAAACATGAGTACCTAAATCTGTTGGCCTAGTGATGGGGAATGAGGGCAGCCGAGGTCTGAGGGCAAGCCTGACATAAGTATCTTGGGAAAAATAGAGTGATTGTTATCTAACAGTTAACTCTTGCTTCAAGGGTCATTCGTGTCTTATATAAAGGTTGCTGGGAAACCTACAGTGACATCTTGTGGTCCATGGTGGCTCCTCTCTCAGTTGGAATTGAGTGGTTAGGAAAGGCCACAGTGGTCTGAAAAATCATAGTTAGAGAAAATATGGTTGGGATTATTACAAAACCACACATATCACAGCAGTGCCTAGACACTATGGTGAAGGCTATTTTACTGGCCTGTGTGTGCAGGCTTTGAGAATAAATGTTATATAAGGAAGTGTTTTCAATATTACTAACTTTTTTGGGTATGATTAAAAAAACTATAAACATAATATAAAATCCAGTTAAATATAGTTTGAAATAATAATATTGTATGCTTGCACAAAACATATTTTTATTGAAGATCCTGAAACAAAATGGTAAGAGGCTTCTATTGAGGAAAATGTACCTCTCTCCAATATCTAGGGAACTTAACAATGAAGAGTAAGTCTCCTTTAGCTGTTACTTAAAGGTGATTTCTGCCATACTCAAATGTTTATTAATACCCAGAGCTAAACTCTCAAAATGTTTAAAATATCTTGTATAACATTATAAAAGATGTCCCTGAATTTGGAATATTTTAAACCACACTGAATGACATAATTGATTTTTTAAAAAGACACAAGCCCTATATATAGAAAAAACATAATAAAATACAATTTTTCTTTTTTTTGTGAGGAAGATCGGCCCTGAGCTAACATCCATGCTAATCCCCCTCTTTTTGCTGAGGAAGACCGGCTCTGAGCTAACATCTGTTGCCAATCCTCCTCCTTTTTATTTTTCCCCAAAGCCCCAGTAGATAGTTGTATGTCATAGTTCCACATCCTTCTAGTTGCTGTATGTGGGACGCGGCCTCAGCATGGCCGGACAAGCGGTGTGTT